TTATTTTTGATCGAACAATTCCTTCAATGGTACTGTCTCACGTTTAACAGATAAATAAATATCAGTGAAGAATTCTATCCTTGGTAAGGTTGTTGGCAGCAGTAGTACTTGTTGGTGTAATGACTCTTGCACCAGTACTTGCAGCTGTTGTATCCGAGCACGGGTCTTTGGTCGTAGAAGCTGTGACCAGGCACGAGACCAGGGTAATGAGCGGTGTTGAAGGATCCGGCGCCGTGGATGCCAGAGCCTACGAGTCCTAGGCCATGGACGCCACCTCCATGGACACCTCCCAGGGCACCGCCGTGAACACCACCAAGGACACCTCCGTGGACACCACCGAGCACCCCACCGCCATATCCGCCAATGCCGTACCTGCTGTGTCCAACAACTGCTACTATGAGGCACAGAGCCACGAGGAGGGAGGTCACTGCCACGTTACGAGCCATCCTGAAACGACAAGAAATTTCCGTTAATTTTACATTTTCTATGATCTGGGCTGATAATGCACATTAGAATTTACATAGACCATAACACCTTAGTTAAATCTTTGATAAAATTAACGCCTTTATTGTAGAAATGACTTACTTGAACTTAAACTGGAAGCTGCAGTCTGATCTTTCATTCACGGTGTCTTCTTATATACGTCCCCGCATCGCCTGGCAGCTCTCGCCCAGGGAAGGCCAAGCGAGTGCAAGGTGTTGCCACCGTCCATCATTATTATTATTATTGTTCATATCCCCAACAACTTATATCAAATTCTGTCACTTATGTCGATAAACATATATTAATAATTCAATGTTGAAAACGAAAAGCTTCTTAAAGTCAGTTTATTTTTCACGCTGTTTCAAGTTGCAAATAATTGAAAGGGCGAAGAATTGGCAAGTTCTGATGACGTAAACAAGAATTCCAGGTGACTGACACAGTGTGCAAAAAGTCTTATCAAATTTTCCCACGTATTTCTCATTCCTGAATCAGTCTTAACATTCATATCATCTGAGTAGAAAGACACACACACACACACATATATATGTATGTGTGCATGTGTACATATATATGCATTTACATATATACACATATATATATATATATATATATAATATATATACATACATACATATACAATATATATAATATATATATATATATATATATATATATATATAATATATATATATATATGTATGTATGTATGCATGCATACACACACACATATGTTTTATGTATATGTATTATATATATATGTATGTAAATATATATATATGTATATATATATATATATATATATATTATATATATATATATATATATATATATATATATATATATGCATACACACATATACAAACATAAGCTGTATGTATATGCATACATACATACATATATATATGTATATATATACTTACCTGTATATATGTGCACACACACACACACACACACACACACACACACACGTACGCACACACACGCACACGGACACACACACACACACACACGCACACTCACATACATACAGATATATGTATATATAATACATATACATATATATGTATATTCATATGTATTCATATATACATATAGACATATATATAGAGAGAGAAAGACACGCACACACACACTGAGATATATATATATATATATACATATACATATATATGTATATTCATATGTATACCAATATAAATAGACATATATAAACAGAAAGAAAGATGGGGAGAGAAAGAATCCTTTGAATATAACAAGCACCTGTGAAGAAGAGAAATCAATTTAGAGACATATAGATGGATGAAGGAAGAAATAAATATAGGATAGAAAGACAGATCGATATAGACAAACGGGGAGAGACAGCCAGACACATTCATGGTGAGAGACATTAATAGATAAAGACAGTTGGGGACACAGATAAATATAGACGCATGAGGAGTGAAAGATGGATATAGACAGATGGACAGATAGACAGATGGACAGATAGATAGACAAATGGACAGACAGATAGATAGAGACGATTCTCCTGATAGCACTTCCTGGAACGTCCGTAGCACTACTTTAGATACATCACCTGATGCTATTGAGAATGGTTGATTGTAAAGGGAGGGAGAGAGAGAGAGAGAGAGAGAGAGAGAGAGAGAGAGAGAGAGAGAGAGAGAGAGAGAGAGAGAGAGAGAGAGAGAGAGAGAGAGAGAGAGAGAGAGAGAGATAGAGAGAGAGAGACATGCCGGTTCACTAGAAAGTTTACAGTTAATTTTCCGATCGTCAAGTAGTCTCTGGATATTTCTACAGACATGCTGCTCTTGTATGGTTATTTTGGTTGGCATAGAAACGCCGTAGATATGCGCAAACTTTCTGCAGATGTATCTGTTACTGAGTTCATTATAAGAATGTTCTAAAATTATGAAATGAATTTTTTTTAACCTACCGGCCATGAAAATGTAGTGTTCACCATAGTATTGTTTTCTGAAGCATGTCTACTCAACGATAGCTCCAAAAGGTTACTCGACTACTGTGAAGGAAAAGATGATTTGTTTATTTTCAAATGAATCGTGAACCGTGCCCCACTTCATAATAAACCCCAATGACGTAATCCCGGGATCAGAAAAATCGGTTAAGAATCCAGCCACACTGCCGTGGAAATTTGCACCACACGGCCACGAGTCGCACATCTTCTGGTACTGTGGCTAATAACAGGCAGTGAAACGTAAATATTAAATCATAAAATGTGATATGGGAAATAGATGGATTTTCCCATTGTAGGTATCATGTGTTTTGTAGTATGCATAATTTGTTTTCTTTTTGTGCAATGATTGAAAAAAGTTCTTTTTAATAACTCCTAAAGGTGTTCCTAAAGTTAATTCCTCTAAAACGGTAATCTGTGACAAAACATCCAGCCTTTATAGTTCCCAAGGAGTCAGTCGATTAGTAGGCTTCATTACCTACCCTTGGCAGTGAAAAGAGAGAAGAAATAAATGATTTAGTTCTTCAGTGTGTACTCCATTCTTTTGTATGTTCTTGCAACTTTGGCTGTAGGTTCAAAGGAAGTTCAAACCCATTTTTAAAATCATATTTGGTACTTAAAGTTGTTTTCCAAAGGTACTTAAAGTTGTTTTCCAAAGGTGCTTAAAGTTGTTTTTAAAAGCACTTAATCTATCTGTATGACTGTGAATATGATAGGTAACATCAGACAGACATAGTCGTGAAAATAAATTTTATTCTCGAACCATAAATCATGTGATTAAATAGCAGATCAAATAAATACTTTTCATTGAAGAATTTTGAGTCTATCCCTGGTAAGGTTGTTGGCAGCAGTAGTACTTGTTGGTGTAATGACTCTTGCACCAGTACTTGCAGCTGTTGTATCCGAGCACGGGTCTTTGGTCGTAGAAGCTGTGACCAGGCACAAGACCAGGGTAATGAGCGGTGTTGAAGGATCCGGCGCCGTGGATGCCAGAGCCTACGAGTCCTAAGCCATGGACGCCTCCTCCATGGACGCCTCCGAGGGCACCGCCGTGAACACCACCAAGGACACCTCCGTGGACGCCTCCGTGGACACCACCGAGCACTCCACCGCCGTATCCGCCAATGCCGTACCTGCTGTGTCCAGCAACCGCTGCAATGAGGCACAGAGCCACGAGGAGGGAAGTCACTGCCACGTTACGAGCCATCCTGGAAAGAAGAGAAATTCATATTAATTTAAGGTTTACATGATCTGGTCAGAAAAGATTTATAAACATACCATCACACCTAATAGGACGAGCATTTGATAGAATAAATGCATTTATTACAGAAGTGACTTACTTGAACTTCAACTGGAAGCTGTTCTGTGAGCGTTCATTGACGGTGCCTCCTTATATACGTACCCGCATCGCCTGCCCGCTCTCGCCCAGGGAAGTCCAGGCGAGAGCGAAGGTTGCCAGTGTTCATAATTTTTCTTTTATTTGTTATCGCGACCATCCTTTTTATTGATCTGTTATTCGTATCTAGAATAATTATATTCATATGTTTTATCTTTAAAATCAAAAGTCCTAGTAAGTTATTTATTTCATGTTGTTATTAATAATAACAAATGATCAAATCTGATAATAATGGGCAACCTCTGCTGACGAAATGAAAGATTCCAGGTGACTCGCTTGGTCTGGAAAAAGCCCGCTTATCCGAATTTCCCTTGCGTTTCTCATTTCAGATAGCTATTATTTGAGAGAGAGAGAGAGAGGAGAAAGAGAGAAGAGAGGAAGAGAGAGGAGGGAAGAGGGATAGAGAGAGAGAGAGGGGGGGGAGGAGAGGGAGAGGGAGAGAGAGAGGGAAGAGAGAGAGAGAGAGAGAGAGAGAGGAAGAGAGAGAGAGAGAGAGAGAGAGAGAGAGAGAGAGAGAGAGAGAGAGAGAGAGAGAGAGAGAGAGAGAGAGAGAGAGGGAGAAGGAGAGGGAGAGAGAGAGAGAAGAGAGAGAGAAGAGAGAGAGAGAGAGAGAGAGGAAGAAAGGAAAGAGAGAGAAAGAGAGAGGGAGAAAAAGGAGAGAGAGAGAGAAAGAGAGAGGGCGGAACACACACACACACAGATATATATATATATAATATATATATATATATATATATATATATATATATATATATATATATATATATATATATATATATGTAAAGAGAGAGAAAAAGAAGTGGGGTAATATGAGATGTTACATAATGTTTGTAGTTTATGGGAACATGTGTACCTACAGTAGATAAGGACACTGGCAGTTATCAAGACATGTCCAAGAATGTTATTAAGTGGTATTTCATGGGGAGTTAACTTGTTTGCTTCTGCTGCCTCCTATCGGCATGTGGGTTTCTTGGAAATCAAAACGAGACTAAAAAAGCATCTCCAAATTGCTGAGAGTTGTGACTTTGGGTACCATATCCTCTTACGACCGTGTTCTTGGACATCAGATCGAATGTACTCGCTCCATTTCCCTTTCCTTTATCATATCTCCTGAAACGAGTCACATGATCACTACAGCCTCATTTATAGCAGTTACTTCATTCAGAAAACATGTTTGAAGTAGTCTGCTACCACGAAGGCAGCAAATATTTTTGTACCGATATGGTAAACCTATGAGACCAATGTTGGTGTTGTGACTCAAGTGACTATGTTTATTTTTTGCCACTGGAGACCCATCCAAGTTTTGAGTGGCATGATATTCAATCCAGGGACATTCTAAGATCAGTGTTAAGTCAAATTAGGAGGTATACAAAGCCATCTTCTATGATTCTATATTTTCAAAAGCCACTTATGATAGCTAGAAATAAGTAGCAGATAGATAAGTAGATTTATAGATACACTAATATAGGGAGAGATATTGTAGTTAAATAGCTAGATGTATATATATACATATATACATACTAATATATATACATGTATACATACACACACACACACACACATATATATATATATATATATATATATATATATATATATATACATACACACATATGTATACATATATACATACACACACAAATGTATACATATATACATACACATATACATATATACCTACACACACACACACACACACACATATATTCACAATATAAAGATAGAAAGATAGAGATAGATAGATAGAGATAGAGAGAGAAGGGGGAGGGACAGGGAGAGAGTGGGAGAGGGAGAGAAAAAGTGGACTTTAGGACCGCCCCCTAGGGCACTGCCCGGAAAATCCATAGCACCATTATCTTATATAGATGACATTGCAAAACAGACCGTTAGGCACTACGTCATGTCCTTTTTGAGAATGAGAAAGAGGGGGCGGAGATGGTGGAGAAATAGAGACCAGAAAAAAATATGCTCTAACATTTTTTCTTTATAGTATATTTTATCTTAATTTTCTTCATACAGGTCTCAAGAAATACACACACACACACACACATATATATATAATGTGTGAACAAACCATCATAATGTATTGATTTAGGTTGGAATATAAAGCAAAACAGCTTTCCCATTGCAGACACGAAAATATGCAAGCTTCAGACGTGGAAATAAAGAGTTTTAAAAAGCAAGATAGAGACGGAGGGAGAGAGATTATCCTATTCCATATTCAACTCTTATTTCTATATTTAGTTGATACCATATATTTAATACCTTGAACTGTATGGTATCTTGAAAATGAAAAGAACAAAAGAATGACTAGGGTCATTTTCTAAAGGAATATATATCGTGCTTGGGTGTGTGTGTTTTTATTACATTATCTGTCATGTATCTGTATCAATGTGTGTATGAATGTGAATATATGTATGTTTGTTGATGTGATAGGTAACATCTGGTAAATCGAATATTCAAACTAACTTTTATATTTGAGAAACTATAAATCATTTTATGATATAACAGATCAACAAATGAATACTATCAGAGTAAAGAACTTGAAGTCTATGGTAAGGTTGGCAGCAGTAGTATTTGGCTTAATGACTCTTGCACCAGCACTTGCAGCTGTTGTATCCGAGCACGGGTCTTTGGTCGTAGAAGCTGTAACCAGGCACAAGACCAGGGTAATGAGCGGTGTTGAAGGATCCAGCGCCGTGGATGCCAGAGCCCACGAGTCCTAGGCCAAGGACACTACCTCCTTGGACACCTCCGAGGGCACCTCCGTGGGCACCTCCGTGGACACCTCCGTGGACACCACCGAGCACTCCACCGCCGTGGACAACAGGTCTGTGTCCGCCAATGCCGTACCTGCTGTGTCCACAGAGCCAAGAGGAGAGTCATTGGCACCCTGTAAGACAAAGCAATGTTACATTATATTATATGTGATTCGGACTGAAAAGTGCGATACGACTTGAACTTTTGATGAGATGGATGCAATTATTACAGACGTGGCTTAAAATTCATCTCAGCGCATGCATTCTCGTTCCCGCATCGCCTGCCCACTCCCGCCCAGGGAAGGCCGGGCATGAGCGATGTGTTGCCAGCATTTAATAATTTTCCTTTTATTTGTTATCGCGACCATCTTTTTTCTTGAATTATCAGTCATATCGAATAAAGTGTATCCACATACGTTAACACATAAATGTCCCAGTAAGTAATTTTATTTACGTAGTCATTAATAGCTAGATTAGGAAAATAAGTGACAGAGGACACCATATCCTCTAACAACCGGGTTCTTGGACTTCAGCTCGAATGTACAAGCTTCTATTTTTCGTTCCCTTTTCTTTACTGTAGTTTTATCTCCTGTAACGAGTCACGCAATCGGTATAACTTTGTGTCTACAACAGAAAGAGATTTAGTATTAGACAGATATACAGATTGCCTGAAGCAAGAAGAGGTTTTGTAGATAATTAGATCGAGCGAGCGAGCGAGAGCGAGAGAGAGAGAGAGAGAGAGAGAGCGAGAGAGAGAGAGAGAGAGAGAGAGAGAGAGAGAGAGAGAGAGAGAGAGAGAGAGAGAGAGAGAGAGAGAGAGAGAGAGAGAGATGAAGATAGAAAGAGGGGACGTTCGGATTCCTTGGAAAGTCCAAAGCACCAGTGATTTCTATAGGAGACATTGCATAGCACTACGTTTGGTACTGCGTTGGAATGCGAGAGAAATGGGCTGGATAGATAAATAAAGAAGTAGAAGAGTAGGAAGTTAGGAAGAGAAAAACATTTGTTCCATAATTCTCTGGTATATTTCCTCTCAGTTTGTTCATTCTGGTGCCAAACTATGCACGTTATACACAAATAAGCCACCCCAAGGGCTTATTTAGGTACAAATATATCATGCAGGTTTCAGGCAAAACTCCTATTTTTAACATTCAACTGATACCATACATTTCTAACGATTGAAAGAGGCAAAATTAAATGTTCTTAGATATGAAACTGGAAAGAGAATTATTAATTTTATTCTTCCCTAAAATCTATATAGCTCTTTCATATGTACTCCATTCTTTCTATATATTCTTGTAATCCGAGTTACATGCTCAACGGGAGTTCAGAATTATTTTTATTTCCTTAGTCCTTAAAAACACCGCATAAACACTCGTATATGTTAACTCGCATTGCAGATCATATCTCTTGCATGTATATGTTATCTATCATTTTGTCTGTCGATATGTGTGTGAATGTGAATATACGCAATTTTGTATGCGATTGCAGACTACATTTAAAACAGGGATAAAATTGACTTAATCAGATAGGAGTCATCAAATAAACTTTTATTCTTAAAGAACTATTTTTTTTGGCAATACAACAGATCGACTAATAAAATACTTTTTTATTGAATATCTTTTAGTCTATCCTTGGTAAGGTTGTTGGCAGCAGTAGTACTTGTTGGTGTAATGACTCTTGCACCAGTACTTGCAGCTGTTGTATCCGAGCACGGGTCTTTGGTCGTAGAAGCTGTAACCAGGCACAAGACCAGGGTAATGAGCGGTGTTGGAGGATCCAGCGCCGTGGATGCCAGAGCCTACGAGTCCTAAGCCATGGACGCCACCTCCATGGACACCTCCGATGGCACCGCCGTGAACACCGCCAAGGACACCGCCGTGAACACCATCGAGGACACCTCCGTGGACACCTCCGTGGACACCGCCGAGTACTCCACCGCCGTATCTGCCAATGCCATACGTGCTGATTTAAATTCGTATAATACGTGAATTAGTTTAGAAAGTACACGAAAACCATACCACGGCATTTAGTTCAATTTTGTCTCTTTAAAGAATAAATATCCTTGACAGTGGCGACATACTTGCACTTCCACTATGTGTTGTGTTCTAAACTTTCCTGCCCTCTCATTACCCGCTCTTCATGGCCAGGGAACTCCGGGCAGGAACGTGTTGTTGCCAACTTACCATTTTTCCTTCATTTGTTCGAGCGATCAATTCAATTTGTAGATTATGACTTCCACCACAAGAAAATAAGAAAATAGAAATAGATCTACATTACATATATCCTCAAAGATGAAACATTCCCGTTAATCATTTCATCGTTTGCTTTTGTTATCGATTACAAACAAATTTAGAAGGAAGCGGCACCTGCTGATGACGGAATAAAAGTTTCTAAGCAACGGGACACATCCGGAAGAGAGTCTGCATTCTGCTTTTTTTTTTTTTTTTTTTTTTTTTTTTTTTTTTTTTTTTTTTTTTTTTTTTTGCGTATCTGCATCTTGTCTGAGTCATTATTCAATTGTCTGGAAAAATTAGTGTCTTCATTTACGAGGAAGAGTGAGTCAACGGAGATATTCATAAAACTTCTTTTAAGACAAGAGACTCTCTGAAAACACGGTTAAAAGGTCACACACACTCACACACGCAAACACACACACATATATATTTATATATGTTTGTGTGTATGTAAATTCACATATATGTATATCTATGTGTATATATATATATATATATTATATTATATATATATATATATATATATATATATATATATGTGTGTGTGTGTGTGTGTGTGTGTGTGTGTGTGTGTGTGTGGTGTGTGTGTGTGTGTGTAATATATTTATATATATAAAAATGTATGTATATATATAGTACATGTATGTAATAATATGAATTGATATGTATATATATATATATATATATATATATATATATATATATATATATATATATATATATATATATATGTATATAATATATATATATATGTATATATATAAATTGGTATGTATACAGTATATATGTATGTATACTATATACATATAAATGTATGCATACATACATACATACTTATATATATATATATATATATATATAATATAATATATATATATATATATATATATATACATATGTATATATATATATACAGATTAATATATATATATATATATATATATATATATATATATATATATATATATATATATATATATATATATATATATATATATATGTATGTATATGTATGCATACAATACATATACATATATATATATATATATATATATATATATATATATATATATATATATATACATATATATATATATATATATAATATATATATATATATATATATATAATATATGTATGTGTGTGTGTGTGTGGTGTGTGTGTGTGTGTGTGTGTGTTTGATTCGGATTCTTCTATTCGAAGTTTCCAGATTAATTTTCTCACTGGATATTGCATTTTGATGTCTCGATTTAAATAAGTTGTGTCTCTCAGCTTGTTATACACATTGTATTTTCTAATTTGTTTCAAATGTATATACCTTATTTTTTGAGTTGTGATTCAACTTTAATATTTCATTTTTGGGTTGTTCTGTTTTACACTAGTCATTCAATTAATATTTGCATTGTTCTTATGAACCTGTTCCAACTATGAATTTCTAACGTGTTTTGCACTAGTGTGCCTGTTATTATTGTTCAACCTTAACATTTGTTAATCTTGAATTTACTCCACCACTGTTCATTTTGTGTTTAGGATAATCTAACTATTGTATTTGATGTATGTATGTAATTTAACATTTGAGTATAATGATTAAATTTGTATATTGTCCATTTTACAGTTCTCCACTGGCTGCAAATACGCAGAAAACGTTTGGTATTTGAGATTAAAAGAGGACCAAGAAGTATGACATCTTGTTTTGTTCCAACCCAAAGATGGTCCTGGTTACGACGCTAGTTTCGAAATTTATATACATATGTATATATAGGAATATATACATATATTTATGTAAGTATATATACATGGTTATATATATATGTATATATGCATTGGTATATATATATATGTATATATATGTGTGTGTTTGTGAGATGTGTGTGTGTGTGTGTGTGTAAGGGTTTGTAAGGGACCTGGAGAATCATGGAAAAACATGGAATTTGAATTAGAAATTTTCCAGACTTGGAATATCATGGAATTTTGATTATATATATATATATATATATATATATATATATATATATATATATATATACATATATGTACTTATATATATGTATATATGTATATTTATGTATGTATATATGTAATATAGTCATACAAAAGCAGATAAAAGATTGTGCTTTATTTCAGAAGTAACATATTCTCTACATAAGAGTTGAATAACAAAAAACGAATGTAATCCAATGAGGAACTGAGAATCTATCCCTGGTAAGGTCGTTGGCAGCAGTAGTACTTGTTAGTAATATCACTTTTGCACCAGTACTTGCACTTGTTAGAGCCGAGCGCTGGTCTCTGGTCGTGGAAGCTGTAACCAGGCACAAGGCCAGGGTAATGAGCGGTGTTGAAGGATCCAGCGCCGTGGACACCACCGAGTCCTCCAACGCCTTGGACACCACCGACTCCTCCAACGCCGTGGACACCACCGAGTCCTCCACCGAGTCCTCCAACACCATGGACACCACCGACTCCTCCAACACCGTGGACACCACCGACTCCTCCAACGCCGTGGACACCACCGAGCCCTCCACCGCTTTGGAGACCACCGAGTCCTCCAACACCATGGACACCACCGACTCCTCCAACACCGTGGACACCACCGGCTCCTCCAACGCCGTGGACACCACCAACTCCTCCAACACCGTGGGCACCACCGAGTCCTCCAACACCATGGACACCACCGACTCCTCCAACACCGTGGGCACCACCGAGTCCTCCAACACCGTGGGCACCACCGAGTCCCCAACACCATGGACACACCGACTCCTCCAACACGTGGGCACACCGAGGCCTCCACCGCCTTGGAGACCACCGAGGCCTCCACCGACTCCTCCAACACCGTGGACACACCGACTCCTCCACCGAGGCACCACCGACTCCTCCACCGCCGTGGACACCACCGAGGCCTCCACCGCCGTGGACACCACCGAGGCCTCCACCGCCGTGGACACCACCGAGGCCTCCACCGCCGTGGACACTACCGTGGACACCGACAGGTTTTTGGATCCCAACAGGTCTCTGTCCGTACTTGCTGCTTCCAGCATCTGCAGCTACGAGGCACATAGCCACGAAGAGAGAGACCGCTGCCACGTTACGAGCCATCCTGAAAGGAAAAAAAACTATGCATTAGGTATACGATATAGAGATAACACATGAAACTGTCAATGAAACATTTATATAATCAATACCATGAGTTTTTTTTTGTTTTCTTTTTATCCGATTTTGACCCTCTAGTACAGATAACTCGTCAACAGGAGCGACTTACATGGAATTCAACTGCGTACCGTGGACTGCGGCTCCCTCCTCGTTGCGACCTTGTTATATACGGACTTCAATCGCCCGCCGACACTCCTTGGGAAACCCAGGTTCGAGCTTATGTTGCCAGTATTTTCTGTTTTTATTTGATCGTTCAACTCAGTCAACCTGTTTTCTGAGGCACGTGTTAAAATATTGCTGAACATGTGAGAATGATGGCGAAATCCGTTTCCAGGCTGGAAAGTAATAGCTGGATGAAGTCTATCGAATACTTTTTTTTTCTTTCTTTCTTTCTTTTCTTCTCTCTCTCTTTCTCCCCCTCAATCTCTTTCGCTCTCTCTCTCTCTCTCACGCACACACATATACAAACACACAATTCATTTTTCTCTCTCTTTCACACACACATACACATATAAACACGCACAAATAAATCTCTCTCTCTCTTTCTATTAAAGACTGTTACCCTCCTACATTAGAACGGTGGGCAGAGTGTTACTCGTATATGGCTTTAATCTTTATCCTCAAGAGTACACACAAGTAGAATAGAAACACGATACGAGACTGGTCAGTGCTTACAGCCTCTGACCTCTCTCTTCCTGGGTGAATGGGTCAGCGTGGGTCATGCTGGATCGGGTCAGCATGGCCTCTGACCTCTCTCTTCCTGGTGAATGGGTGGGTCATGGGATCACCTCTCTCTTCCTGGGTGAATGGGTCAGCGTGGGTCATGCTGGATCGGGTAGCCTCTGACCTCTCTCTTCCTGGGTGAATGGGTGAGTGTGGGTCATGCTGGATCGCCCTTATATCTGACTCAAGCTTGGGGGAGCAGATGTCACATTTGGCTTGGGTTATATTAAAAAAATATCCAACCCCTCCCCCCCCCCTCTCTAAATTTGCTAGAATAAATGATCCGACGGCAATATTCAAAGCAAATTAAACTGCCTCTGTATATTGGTGATTAAAACACACGATAATAGAAAGATGAACAGAGAAAGATAGAGAAAGAAAAAAAGGGAAAAAGAGACACTCGACAGACTTCTTCCATCTACTACTCCCTTGCCTAGAAAGCGCTGATTAGTCGTCATAATAACAACAGTAATGAAAGTATAACCGTATGTGCACTGCGATGTAATTATAGTATCATATGCACTGATGTGATACGTTACATACATTCACATGTGTTTACGCACACGCACACTTATATATGTACATGCACATAAATATAGGTAAAATATATATATATACATATATATGTATGTATATATACATATTTGTATATATATACATGGTAGAAAAAACCATAATGCGCAAACTAGATTTATTGAAGTGAGAAAACAATTTCGGAATCGTCTTTGATTCCATCTTCGGGTCTGAAGGGGAAGCGGAGAGGAAGCAGTATAAGAGAGAGAGAAAGGAGAAAGAGAAAGCATCGCGGGAAACACGTGGCAGGTGAGGACAGGTGAACGGAAGCGTTCTTATCTCCTGTCCTCACCTGGCCGTGTATATATATATATATATATAATATATATATATATATATAAATATATATATATGTGTGTGTGTGGTGTGTGTGTGTGTGTGTGTGTGTGTGTGTGTCATACATATATATATATATATATATATATATATATATATATATATATATATATATATATGTGTGTGTGTGTGTGTGTGTGTGTGTGTGTGTGTGTGTGTGTGTGTGTGTGTGTGGTTCATATATATATATATATATACATACATACATACATACATATATATATATATATATATATATATATAATATATATATATATATATATATATATATTATATATATATATATATATAATAAATTAAAAACAGTTCGTCCAGTTTAGTCAGTAGAAAACTGACTTACGGATCTATCCATAGTAAGACTGTTGGCAGCAGTAATACTGTCGGGTGAACGAACTCTTGCACCAGTACTTGCACTTGTTGAATCCGAACGCGGGTTGGGTGGAGTGGAAGCCGAAGCCGGGCACAAGACCTGGGTAGTGAGCGGGGTTGAAGGATCCAGCGCCGTGGATGCCAGATCCTACGAGTCCTAGGCCATGAACACCGGCGGAGGAATGGACACTGCCGGGGACACCGAGAGGTTTAGGTCCGACAGAACCGTAGCTTCTGTGTCCAGCAACAGCTGCCACGAGACACAGAGCCACGAGGAGGGAGGTCACTGCCACGTTGCGAGCCATTCTGAGAGGAAAAGGGTTACATCGTATTCAGATTAAAACATGAATTGGTCTGAAAACGAATTTGAACATCATGCCAAGACGTTTCATCTAATTTGCTCTGTAAGCCTATTTGGTTGAAGATGGCAGGAAAACATACCATATCCACTGTAATTTTAGCTTATGTTTACACATACATTGCTCCACAGGTGCTTCAGTCAACTATTATCCCTACCTATCTCACCTGGTTATCTTTATCGTGATTCCTAGGTTTTTCTTTTATTTAGTATTATAACAATATACTATTCATAAAGTCATATCGATATCAATAACATAAAAAAACCGAACATCCAGAGAAATCAGGTGAGGTCACACTGAACCAATTGACTCCTTAGTGACTGATCACTTATGAAGCCATCTGAGTGCAACGAAAATCGCATAAAACTGCAGTGTTTAGAGAATGAAAATCCTCCTTAGTCGTTTACCTGAACTTCAAGTGCGTGCTTGTTCTGAGGATGCATTCCCTTCGCGTCCTTATATACGCCGATCCTTGTCAAGGGAACTCCAGGGAAGTGCTTATGTTGCTAACGTTTTCATTTCATGGATCAGTCATCATTTTGTTTTAATTCATCAGAACAATAGCCTATTTTTTTTTATACTATTCATATAAAAAATAAGCCACATCGAAAACATAGACTACAGTGCTAATGTTCCCTCTCCCACCGAAAAAGTCTTTATACCATGAAATATTGTTAATGAGAAGTTACTGCGTATGGCAAGCAATGGCAATGCTGATGGCGAAATCAGATTTTCCAGACAAGGAGGCAGTATCTGGAAGAAGTCAGATTTTTTATTTTTTTTTTAATCTATTTTACATTTAAGATTTTATTTTGATTATCATTATTGCTATCATTATTATTATTCCTATTGCTATTATGATTATTATATTATTATTATCAATATTATTATAATGATTATCATTATTGTCATCTTTATTATCATCAATGTAATTATCATTATTTGTTATCGTTATTATTACTGTTATTATCGTCATTATTAGTATCATTTGTTATCATTATTACTCCTATCATTGTCATTATTATTATCATTTATTATCATTATTACTCCTATCATTGTCATTATTAGTATTTTATTATCATTATTACTTCTATTCTTATCATTATTAGTATCATTTATTGTCATTATCATTCTTATTCTTATCATTATCAGTATTATCATTGTTACTATTATCATTACTAATTTTGATATCATTATATCAACATTGCTATTATTATCATCTTTATCATTATAATATTACGAGCATAAGTGACTTGACGGCGATATGTATATATAACTACCTTTAGAATAAAGAACCTCAATATAATGATGACTACAATGGAGCTATGTTAATGATAGACAGAGACAGGTAGATAGATGAATAGACAGAGAAGAAAAGAGCGAAAAAGGAAGGATATATATATATATATATATATATATATATATATATATATTATATATATATATATATATATATATATATATATATATTATATCAAAATCTATGTATACATACATACACGCACACACACACACATATATGTGTTTGTGTGTGTGTGTGTGCGGGTGTGTGTGTGTTTTTATTATATTTGTATATTTACACATGAAAGTGAAAAAATAACAACAATAAGAAATGAAAATAAACGTTACGTTTCGCTTATTTTTGTATCTTATTATGAATGTTTCCTTTTTACTTTTTGTGTACACGTAACTGAGTTTGTGTTTGTGTTCAAACATGCACACACACACCCACACACACACACATAGACAGACATATATATGTGTATCTAATATTCACACATACACATAGATACACAACGTTTATTTAATCGTATATATATAAATGTTGATTCATCCACATATAACAATCTATTCATTAACTATACTATGCTAACACACTATTCGTGTGTGCTGATATATCTTTAAGACTCCTAGACTGCTATTCACGATTCGTTTGTCTCAATGATTTTTTTTTTTTTTAATCTATTGTTGATATTAAGTTCAATCACATTTATTTCTATTTTTCAAGCGTTTACATCGAGAATTTTAAGTGTACACGATACTACTGAGCAGAGTGGAGACACAGGGACACAGGCTATAAAACCGTAGTTTGCAGTTGAATAAAAAGGTAAGTTAAAGCCTTAAAGTTAGCGAACAGGAAGTTTATATCGCTCAGTAAACCACTGATGCCTTGATGATAGTTTTCCGTATATATGATCATAGGATTTAATTTCGTTATATCTATTAAATTCGTTACGTGGACCGTTTCCATTACACTTATTGTCTTATTAATCGTTTTCGTTATATCTTTTTACGATTGTAACGTAGTGGCAAGGTGTTATAATAGAACGATTAATACCGGTTTCATAAAATTGCAAACATTACTTTCGAGATGGAAAAAATAGATAGATATTAAGGACATATTTGAAGATAAAAACATACATACTATTTTCATCTTTTTGTTTTTTAATTGTTTGTAAACGACTCGCGTAAACAAATTATTTTCCGCAGCTTACATACTGAGTGTTAAAAAAAAGGGCGTTGATGAACTATGACCATGTATACAAGTCATCTCAAATGTACTTTTCTCTCGGTGAAGGTGTGTACTTGTGTACGGAATTATAGAATCATACCATGGAGAAATTACATGCATTTTATTTTGAGAATCGGCAAATTTGTCAACATAACAAACAGTTCGTCCAGTTTAGTCAAAACTGACCTATAGATCTATCCATAATAAGACTGTTGGCAGCAGTAATACTGTCGGGTGAACGAACTCTTGCACCAGTACTTGCACTTGTTGAATCCGAACGCGGGTTGGGTGGAGTGGAAGCCGAAGCCGGGCACAAGACCTGGGTAGTGAGCGGGGTTGAAGGATCCAGCGCCGTGGATGCCAGATCCTGCGAGTCCTAGGCCATGAACACCGGCGGAGGAATTGACACTGCCGTGGACACCGAGAGGTCCAGGTCCGACAGAACCGTAGCTTCTGTGTCCAGCAACAGCTGCCACGAGACACAGAGCCACGAGGAGGGAGGTCACTGCCACGTTGCGAGCCATTCTGAGAGGAAAAGGGTTACATCGTATTCAGATTAAAACATGAATTGGTCTGAAAACGAATTTGAACATCATGCCAAGACGTTTCATCTGATTTGCTCTGCAAGCCTATTTGGTTGAAGATGGCAGGAAAACATACCATATCCACTGTAATTTTAGCTTATGTTTACACATACATTGCTCCACAAGTGCTTCAGTCAACTATTATCCCTACCTATCTCACCTGGATATCTTTATCGTGATTTCTAAGTTTTTCTTCTATTTAGTATTATTATAACAATATACTGTTCATAAAGTTATTAATTTTACTGACATTATCGATATCAATAGCATAAAAACCCGAACATCTAGAGAAATCAGGTGAGGTCACACTGAACCAATTGACTCCTTAGTGACTGATCACTTATGAAGCCATTTGAGTGCAACGAAAATCGCATAAAACTGCAGTGTTTAGAGAATGAAAATCCTCCTTAGTCGTTTACCTGAACTTCAAGTGCGTGCTTGTTCTGAGGATGCATTCCCTTCGCGTCCTTATATACGCCGATCCTTGTCAAGGGAACTCCAGGGAAGTGCTTATGTTGCTAACGTTTTCATTTCATGGATCAGTCACCATTTTGTTTTAATTCATCAGAACAATAGCCTATTTTTTTTTTATACTATTTATATAAAAAATAAGCCACATCGAAAACATAGACTACAGTGCTAATGTTCCCCCTCCCACCGAAAAAGTCTTTAAACCATGAAATATTGTTAATGAGAAGTTACTGCGTATGGCAAGCAGTGGCAATGCTGATGGCGAAATCAGATTTTCCAGACGACGAGGCAGTATCTGGAAGAAGTCAGAAGAGTCTTTTTTTTTTTTTTTAATCTATTTTACATTTAAGATTTTATTTTTATTATCATTATTGCTATAATTATTATTCCTATTGCTATTATGATTATTATCATTATTAATATTATTATAATGATTATCATTATTGTCATATTTATTATCATCAATGTAATTATCATTATTTGTTATCGTTATTACTGTTATTATCATCATTATTAGTATCATTTGTTATCATTATTACTCCTATCATTGTCATTATTATTATCATTTATTATCATTATTACTCCTATCATTGTCATTATTATTTTATTCATTATTACTTCTATTCTTATCATTATTAGTATCATTTATTGTCATTATCATTCTTATTCTTATCATTATCAGTATTATCATTGTTACTATTATCATTACTATTTTTGATATCATTATATCAACATTGCTATTATTATCATCTTTATCATTATAATATTACGAGCATGAGTGACTTGACGGCGATATGTATATATAACTACCTTTAGAATAAAGAACCTCAATATAATGATGACTACAATGGAGCTATGTTAATGATAGATAGAGAAGAGTAGATAGATGAATAGACATCGAGGTATATATATATATATATATATATATATATATATATATATATATATATATATATATATATATATATATATATATATATATATATATATATATATATACATATATATATATATATATATATATATATATATATATATATATATATATATATATATATATATACATATATATACATATATATATATATATATATATATATATATATATATATATATATATATATATATGTATATATATATATTATATATATACAAAATCTATGTATATACATACACACACACACACACATATATGTGTTTGTGTGTGTGTGTGTGTGCGGGTGTGTGTGTGTTTATTATATTTGTATATTTACACATGAAAGTGAAAAAATAACAACAATAAGAAATGAAAATAAACGTTACGTTTCGCTTATTTTTATATCTTATTATGAATGTTTCCTTTTTATTTTTTGTGTACACCTGAGATTGTGCTTGTGTTCATACATGCACACACACACCCACACACACACACATAGACAGACATATATATGTGTATCTAATATTCACACATACACATAGATACACAACGTTTGTTTAATCGTATATATATAAATGTTGATTCATCCACATATAACAATCTATTCATTAACTATACTATGCTAACACACTATTCGTGTGTGCTGATATATCTTTAAGACTCCTAGACTGCTATTCACGATTAGTTTGTCTCAATTAAATGATTTTTTTCTTTCTAGTTGATATTAAGTATAATCACATTTATTTCTATTTTCCAAACGTTTACATCGAGAATGATTAATTGTACGCGATACTACTGAGCAGAGTGGAGACACAGGGACACATGCTATTAAATCGTAGTTTGCAGTTGAATAAAAAGGTAAGTTAAAGCCTTAAAGTTAGCGAACAGGAAGTTTATATCGCTCAGTAAACCACTGATGCCTTGATGACAGTTTTCCGTATATATGATCATAGGATTTCATTTCGTTATATCTATTAAATTCGTTACGTGGACCGTTTCCATTACACTTATTGTCTTATTAATCGTTTTCGTTATATCTTTTTACGATTGTAACGTAGTGGCAAGGTGTTATAATAGAACGATTAATACCGGTTTCATAAAATTGCAAACATTACTTTCGAGATGGAAAAAATAGAGATAGATATTAAGGACATATTTGAAGATAAAAA